GTTATGCGGAACCGATTCCCGAACCTTCCAGGAAAGTCTTAAGGATTTCTTCGTCAGATCCAGCTAGAAATGCGAAAAAAGCGCGAGTGAAAGATCAAAGGGTGGAACGCGCAGATGAGAAAGAAGATGAGACTACGACGAAAGAGGAGGATATGGACTGCACTTGTAATGCCGAAATTGTCACTCGAGATAAACTTGCAAGAATCCGACCTCCTGATCGTCCTCGCGTTATCAGGAACGAACGTCGTCGCAATGACGCCGAGGAAGATGAAGAAGATATAGAAGAAAGAATAAAAGATGACGAAGAGGACGAAGACACAGAGGATAGTATATACGATGAATTGAGGGCACGAGTTCCTCACAGAAGAACTGCGGCACGCGAACGAGAACTGAGAAGGTGGATCCGACGATGTCGTGAAGAATGCGTACGACGGGGAAGGCGATAATGCGAGTTGAAAATTTAGGATTGTATAAATACATTTTTAACAGCTCGAGAAAATGAATTATTACTTCTTTATCTTGATAATTGCTTCCATTAGCTACTGCACGAAAATAAAATTAATATATATTCGCGATTCTACTTGTAAGATTCTTGTAAGATCCTTCTACACAATTTTTTTTTTAAACATATTAGATTTTGAAATAAAAAATCTTGTGTCAATTTCTTTCTTCAATATAAAAATTTTTTGTGTTTAACACAAACAATTTGTTGCATTTATAAGTATAAAAAAATATATATATATACACGTGCTTGTTAAATGTTTAATTAAAATTAATAGAAATATAAAAATATAATCTTTTTTCTATTACTGTTTTTATTATTTATATTTTTTTTATTTTTTTATATTTAATAAATAATTTAAGGTATAGAATTAGGAAATAGCATTGTATCACGAACCATATCTTTTGATGATTGAATTTATTACGATCAAATCTGTCAATCTTACACAGAATGCTCAGTACCGCTAGTCGCAACATTCGATGGATCTTTACTTTTTTTTTTCGCGTTTATTAGAACTCCTATCTTTCGTGAAACGCGCAGTATGTTTTTCCGTAAATCGATTGGGATTAACAATCCGTATTGCAAACCGCATATAAGTGCTTCCCGTATGTAAAATTTTGCACGTCTTCGTCCTAAGAAAAGAAATCAAATAATTAATTTATGTTTTATTTGTTTCTATATTTATCTCTTCTTTTCTCCTTCCCAAAAATTCTGAAAAATTTCACTTCATAAGCAAAACAAGTTACGATAACGTCAAAATAATGTTCAAATTAATTATTATTGATTGAAAAGTGATTTTTAATCATCATTTTGGTGCAATTTAACGTCACTTTAATGACTATGTTTGTAATAATTCTACAAATTTATGTCTTTTTTTAATTCCAAGTTAGATATAATTGCTGAACATTAACTTAAGTTCTCTGATGAAAATCAAAATTGGAGCATAAGTCGAATATAATGGCAGAGTAACAGAAGAGAGTAAACGAAACTTCTAGAAGACGAAAATTGAAACAATGAAACGTAGAAAGAAGCATTTACACTTCTTTTACATTTTGATGTTTCAATTTTTGCACTTACGCTTCGATTTTTATTATCACCAGGATTTTTATGTACCATTGCGAACAGCTTTTGTATAATCGGCGATATATTCTTTCGACGAGCTTCTAGATGCTCTTTTAAGGATATTTTTATTTGTGCATGATCGAGACCGCTTGCCATCGTCACCAGCAATTTCTTCGTCGAGATTTGTATGAATTGTCGCCAAGTCATGTCTATGAATTTCTTTCTTTCTCGCGTGTCGCTTATTGAATTTGTTACACGCACAGTATCGCTGTCTCGTCTTTATGTTTCGGTTGGCACATTTGCCTAGATATTTGTACACCAAATCGAATACTGTTGCTTTTTCAACGTCCTGTCGGGGAGAATATTCCTTGTCATAATGTCGCGCCGAGGGTGACCTAATTAGGAGAATAACGCAAATTACAATACATTAAGTTAATTATTGTTTTACAACTCTCATCATTTTACATCATTTTATTTCACAGCTGCTTAATTAATGCTGTGGCATAATTGTTGCTCGATCGATTATTTAGTCCTAGTGTAAGTCTCGTAAGAAAGAAACGAATGAATTTTTTGATCAATCTAATATTTTCGTGTCAACAACTGATTAACGTGTGGCTAACCTGTATGCACGATCAAACGCAGTGCGATGTCGACGTATGCTTTTTGGATGAAAAAGTTTCCGATCTCTGGCCATGGCACAGTTTCAAATTAATACGCGACAGTGTCATAAATTAGAAATCGGTTTGCACGTAAAAACTGCAGAAGGAAGACCAAAATTTTGTAGTTGCATGAAACAGTCGTTCAGTCGTGAAATAGTATTTTGTTTGTGTCTCTGTTCTGCATTCACTTTCTATTTATATTAATAAATATGTGAGGACATGGCGAGAAAGGAGGAAAAAAATAAAAGTGTAGATAGAGAATTATTATGGTTTAGTTTACATCATGCACTTGATACGGGTATTAACTAGTAATTTTGAATGATGTTAATTTTAGCGATACGTTGAAATATATACATTCTAGACAGCACAAAATATTAAAAGATAACGAAAAGAGGTCCTTTTAAGTTGTCCGACAAAGCGAAAAGATGTCTGAAAGATGATGAAAAGGCATTATTTTTAGGTTGTCTTTTCAGCAAGATCGAAAAATGTCTATAAGACATATTTTAGTTTTGTCGAAAAGACAACTTAAAAAAAATTAATTAACAACTTAAAAAAGGTCTTTTCGTCATCTTTCTTGATTGTTATTTTCGCAAAGCAAAAGGTCGACTAAAAGATGTTTTTTCGTATTGCCGAAAAGACAATATGAAAAAGATAACTTTCCGTTATTTTGGTACGTTTTATCACTCATTCGCGAGCAATACGCGAGATCGCCACCAGATGGACGTGATGGAGTTCAATTTCTCGTGTTTGAAAATCATGTAGGACAGAAAAAAAGGTACAGCATTATGAAAAATTTTACTCGTGTTCTAATGAACACTAATAAATTTTTTTTGTAATCGAATCCCCAAAGGGGACTATAATGAAAGATAATTATTCTTGCACATAAGATACGGCAAACTCGAAATGGGACGTATATTAATTGTCAGTCATGAAATTTTATTTCGTTTTTTTGTGTAAACATTAATTTAGGAATTATTATTAAACGTTATATGTATCATAATATAAACATTAAAAGAAATATTAAAGACGACTAAAAGATATCCAAAGAAGTCATCCTTTAGTTATCATATGGATAAGACATATAAGATGACTAGCAGTGCGACATCTGTCGTCTTTTAGTCATTTTTTCGTTGACTATATTCTTTCACTAAAAGGTATCTTTATAACAATTTAATCGCCTTTTAGTCATTTTTTCATCGACTATATTCTTCCACTAAAAGATATCTTTATAACAATTTAGTCGTCTTTTACTCATCTTTTACATGACTTTGTGCCCTCTGGGCATGATATGTGTATTTAATTAATCATTACTGTATCAATTTAGTACATCGTTCTTTAAATACATTGCTGAAATTAAAATAATTTAATAGAAAGTTACTAGTTAGTACTATATCAAGTACACGATGTAAACTAGGTCTATGAGAATATTATTCTTTTTTTCATTTGTATTTTATATTTTATCATAGTCGGTAAAAGAGAAATTTTCAATCGCACACGGTAACTAGAAAAAAATAACTGTGGTTGGTAGAACAGAAATCACACTTATTGTCAATTGAAAGCACAAATGTCAGAACTAAAAAGTGGTGTAGCGTCTAATAGATTACTATTGTCAGCGTTCTCAGAAACACCGATGAGATACTGTTAAAGACCGTCAACCCTGAGTAAATTTTCGGCGGTATAAAAAGGGCACCCAGAGGTAATTGAAGAACGCTGACATTATCGACAATTGTGCAGTGTA